CTATAAAGCAACAAATTGTGCTCCCACCTCCTGTGATGCTGGATTCCAGCGTCTATCAGCACGAGCCACCATGGCCAATGGTCATGAATGATGAGAACCATAGTCTACCTACATGTAGAGGACCACAGGGTCCCAACTCCTGGAATATATAATATTTAAATTCCCATTATCATGGTTATTTCTTGTGTAAAGCCAAGTGAATGGAGAAGCAGTTCTCTTCAAATAATGCGTTGGAAGAGTTTAGAAAGATTACTGCTTTTCCCCTGCACCTCTAATGATCATGCCACTTGGTGAATTCTGGGACTTGTAAAAGTAACATTTGCAAACTTTGTACATTAGTAATCATTTCTGCATCTGTTTTATCCAAATATCCTGCGAGACCCCAGATCCTAAAAAGGACTCTGAAAGCAACATAGATGAGATTATGGTTTTGTAGTTAGAGAATGACGACATTTCCCCTTCGAAGGATACACAGTATATCCATGGAAGGAATACTGATCCCATCTGTGGGATCAGTATCTGCTGATTCGTTTATTTGCTGACTGAAAATATTAAAGCTTCCAGAAATATATTTTATATGTATTTCCAGGATGTATTTACCAGAACTGGCCATGAGAGGGAGCCATGCAATGTATAGCATTTGGTGATTCCGTGGTTTTTGACATCCACTGCAGGGCGGGGCCTTGGAACCGATCCGTTGCAGATATAGGGGTCCTACTGTAATCCTCCCAAGCCAACAAATCAGCTTCTAGATGAAGCCCATCTTGATATCTCAATGGCCAGCAGCCAAACAACTCATGCCCAAGAAATGAAGAGTCTCTTTATTTTGGTGCCATGTATAAATGTAAAACAAGGGACATGGTGGCGCTGCAGGTTAAACCGCAGAAGCCTCTGTGCTGCAAGGTTGGAAGACCTGCAGTCGTAAGATCAAATCCACGTGATGGAGGGAGCTCCCGTTGCTTGTCCCAGCTCCTGCCAACCTAGCAGTTTGAAAGCATGTAAAAATGTGAGTAGATAAATAGGTACCACCTTGGTTGGAAGGTAACGGAGTGCTGTGTCTAGTCGTGCTGGCCACATGACCACGGAAGATTGTCTTGGGACAAACGCTGGCTCTACGGCTTGGAGACGGGGATGAGCACTGCGCCCTAGAGTCGGACATGACTTGACTAAATGTCAAGGGGAACCTTTATCTTTACCTATCAATGTAAAACAAATTTGAATTCTACTTGATGACAGGCACCGTGTAACTTCTATGTTGATCCTGAAAGGATTCCATGGGATCCTGTGTCCTGAGAGGCAAAGGAACATTCTTACTGCCTCTCATTCTCCTTGTCTCAACCTCTTGCCTTCAGAAACGGTTCAGTAGTTGATTCAGCTCAGTTATGAGGGAGAGTTTGGAAATTTGCTTTCTTTGGATGAAGGGGACAGTTGTGAAGAAAAGCAATTCTTCCAAACTGTGGTATCGGGGAAGGGAAAAAGCTTGGAGGTTTCCTTATTTTCATCACGTCCTTCCCCAAACCCTTCTTCAATCCAGGTATTCTCCTACCATGTCGGATGATGCTGAAAAGAATGAGGCTCCCCCAGGAGCAGCAAAGGAACCAGAGCAGCAGGAAAAGGAGGAGCAGGAGCAGGAGACGCCACAAGAAATGGAGTCAGCGCCGCAGCCAGAAGCAGAACCAAAACCTGAACCCGAACGAGAACCCGAACCAGAGCAAGAGAAGACACAGGAGAAGCTGCCATCACAGACACCCCCTCAGAGCCCCTCTGCCCCTGAGGTCCCAGCCTCACCTGTCATGGTGACTGTCACCATTGAGGAGGACGCTGTGGTAGGACCACAGGAGAACGGGGACCCTCCAGGGCTGAGAGCGGGCTCGGCTGAAGAACTGGGGACCACCCCAGCACCACTCACGAGCCCCCCCACCCGCTCCAAATCTGCATCGCTGAATGACCTGAAACCCCAGAACAGTGTCAACGGGGGGCCGCGGGCCATTGTGAGAAGCAGCTTGTCCGGCTCTCAGGTGCACCTCGCAGGAGCTGCTGGGTCTCCGCGGGCCAGCCTGAGCCGACAGGCCTCAGCCACCGGGTCCACAGGTGGTGAGGCTGGGGAGAAACCCAGAGACTACATATTCATTGCTGCCCTCTCCTGCTTCTGCCCAATCTGGCCCATAAACATTGTCGCCTTTGTTTACTCTGTCATGGTAAGTGCAAAGCGATTAGCCAGATCTTGGGAGAATTAGTTTTTTTTAAAAATTTAACAAGCCAATACCCATGCTAACTGAGGAATTCTGGGAGTTCTCATCCAAAAATATAACATTTCCACATTCTGGAGCCACCTCCTGTTTTTACTTCTACTAGGCTGTGCCATATTGGTTTCTTTCATGATTTTTCTTCCATTTCCCCTCTTTCCTGTCCTTGGCCATTTGTCTTTGTTGTCACTTTGCATTCTTCCCATGCACATGAGCGAAGAACAGCAAAGAAACAGTATGTTTACTTAACAAGAAATAGGATAGTTTCTTATTTTAAAAAAAGCAGTTTTATTTGCATGAAAGAGCAGGCTAGGGTGCTTCCCCAAATTGTCATCTCACCTGACTAGTTTTCTACATGCTACATATTTTATAAAACCTATTACAGTGCCTGTCATCATATCTTTGGCATAACACATGCAATAAGATCTTCCTGAACTAATACACAGATGCACATTTAGAAATACAATTATAATTTAAACAGAAATACAATTAATCTCATCCAAGTGGAGGAAACTGAATTGATAAACTGGGCCTGTATTTGGTCTGTTTCCCTGGGGATTTGCATCTTTTAAACCAGCAGTTCCCAAACCTAGGGTCCCCAGATGTTCATGGATTAAAAATCCCAGAAGTCTTCGTCACTAGCTGTGCCAGCCATGTTTTCTCGGAGCTGTAATCCAAGAACATTTGGGGACCCAAAGTTGGGAAGCGCTGTTTTAACCAGATTAAGGACTTGACTACCCTTCAAGTAGAGAAGACAGTCCTCTTCAAAGTAGGGCACCCTACCAGCAGATAAACCAAAACCCAGTAAACTGACTATACAATATGAGTGCTTATTCCCATCCAAGGAGTCTATTAAGGCATATTCACTTTCCTGTTCTTTAAGAGGTCCAAGCCAGCTTACATGAACCGCAGGACAGTTTGCTTTTAATAGAAAGCATCTTTATAGCTTTTACTTCTTGGGTTGTTAAAAGCGTACCCCCTCCTATGGACTGCTCACGGAGAAACAATAGTAAAATAAAACAAAAAGCAAAAACAGCAGTTAAGATAAAAATATGAATATATAAAAATAAAACGAAGATAAGTAAAATATCTACAAAAAACACAAACCCATTTTAACAGTTTTAGAAGTCATACATAAACAAAAACAGCCGCCTTAAACTAGGTTCAACTAGCAAAGCATCTTCCCAAATACTGTTTCCTTTGTAGAGCATGGAAAAGCTCTCCCCCCGTACTACAGCTCCCCACATCTCCAGAAGACATAGCCATTGGCCCTCCAGGATGGGAGATTCTGCAGACTATAGTCTAAAATTAAAGTAACATATGCTCCACATTGTGTTCCTTTGACTTGCAGGAGTTAAGAAACACTCTTTGGCTGACATCTTAATTAATTAATTGCCTGTGTGTGTATTTTTAAATGTTGTGCCCTTTTCTTTCATTGCCAGTGGCAATACAGAGGTGGGGAGAGTTTAAAAATGTAAAAATACGCTGACTGTGAAAACTCAGGGAAAGCATAAAAACTATAAAACCCATGCACTCTAAAATTTCAAAATGCCACATCGCCTGCTGCTTGAGAAATGCTTCACTGAAGCTTAATGTAGCCATGGGTCCTAATTTAGAGAAGACAGCCTTCTGCTGGAGAAGAGTGAATTCTCTTTTTGAAGGCATCCTCTGTTTGAAGGGCTTGTCCCTCCAGGTCTGTTTTAAAGATAAGCAAAAAGCAAAGTGTGCTGCTTATATACTGTCCCATAGCCCTTAAAGCACGCTGTGGGCCTTTTATAATTTAATTATGCAGGCTACACATTGCACACACATCCTAGCAAGTTGGGTGTTCAGTTTACCAAGAACAGTTTTGGCGGCAGTATGTACTACATTTTAACCACTGCACCCCAAGGTGCCTTAAGATAAGCAATCATAAAGGAGACAGATCAGGGACATTAAAGCTCATCCTTAGGAAACTTAGGAAGCATGTAGCCCACCTGATCTCTCAGGTGAGATATATTGTAATTCTGTTCAAATTAATAGAAGCAATTCTAATTTTGCATCTGTACATATAAATTACAGTGTGTGTGTATGTACACACACACACACGTAGATACATATGCAGTACATATACCTGTACATATCTGTAAAGAGGAAGACCAAGTATGTGATGGACTGGCTCCCTAAAGGAAGACACAGGCTTGAGTTTGAAAGAGTTGAGCAGGGCTGCTGAGGACAGGAGATTTTGGAGATCACTCAATCATGGGGTTGCCATGAGTCGGAGACAACTTAGTGGCACATAACAACAACAAGCATCTGTACATATAAACTGTACCACTACCCAACGTTGTGTAGTGGATACAGCAATGGACTAGGACTCAGGAGACCTGGGTTCGATCCCTGACTCTGCCATTAAAACATCAATGGGGGTGTGCGGAACTGGTAAAACCACTCCTTAAATACTTCACTTATCTTGAAAACCTATTAGGGTCCCTATAAGTCAGTTCCCAGTTCCAACTTGATGGCACATAATGCATATAAATTAGCATACCTAGTTTCACACAAATGGATGCCCCATTTTATTTTGGGTATGTGTGAGAGGGACGCAACGACTGACGTCCCCTTGTTTGGTTTTGTGTTAAGTGGCCACTTTGCTGAGCAGGGTAGGGGCTGAACTCAGAACTTCGTGCACAACATAGCTATTCTTCCTAGCTACAATCACTTTTCTTTTTTAAATGTTTTTTTTTAAAATGTTGGGGTTTTTATCACTTTATATTCTCCTTCTCACTCATTAAAAAATGATGCTACTCATGCAGCCACTGTGGGCCCTTCTTTGGTCTCCTCAAGGTGGGATACAAATCCTAAACATGAATGGAAATCAAGGAATAAAGTCTTTGGGACCATTGACCCAATGCTGCCTAATCCTTTCCTCTTTTTTTTTGCTTCCTTGTCAGTCCCGTAATAGCTTCCAGCAAGGAGACATTGATGGGGCGCGGCGCCTGGGACGTGTAGCAAAACTGCTGAGTGTTGTGGCGTTGGTTGGAGGTGTGCTCATAATTGTGGCTTCTTGTGCCATCAACTTCGGAGGTGAGTATCCGAGTAACCAGAACTGGATGAGGCGATCAAATGCTTGTGTCTTACGTATTTTTGTTCCAAGCCCCTTGTACGGCATACAGGAAGAACAGATTCTTGGACAGTCATTTTTCCTTTAAAATTAGGAATAAAATCTATGCTGTCAGGGGAAAGCTTATCCATTAGTACAAAGTGCGGTGGGAGGTAAGATTTCCTAGAGGTAAACATAGTTAGGGTGGGTAGTCTTGCCTCAGAGGAATAAACTTCCAGGGCTCATTGGCATATATTCCATCTGACTGTATATCTGGATTTATGACTGGCCACTGCACAGCTTTGATGATTAGTGGAGGTCTGTGGAAGAGAGGCCACAAAGAAGTTAAAACAAGTAAGAACCGTATGCCATCTTAAAGACAAACGTGTTTTTTTGAGATCAGTTGCATCTAATGAAGTGGCCTGCAGTCCGCAATAATAAATCATTTGCCACCAAGTCAATTCTGACTTATGGTGATCCTTTTCAGGGTTTTCCAAGGTAGAGAATACTTAGAAGTGGTTTATCATTCCCTTTTGGGGGGGGCATTCTGGAATTGTGCAGCATGCCCAGGGCTACACAGGCTGGCTCTTCTCCCAGGAGACACAGTAAGGAATCGAACTCACAACCCCTGGCTCTGCAGACAGATACCTAAGCCACTGAGGAGCCCACAGGAGTTTACATCAAATAAAACCTGTTAATCTTTAAGGAACCACAAGACTCTTTAAAATTTAAAAACCGTCTGAAAACCACCTCTGTTCCCCTAATACCACTATACACCTAAAGAGTGATATTTGTTTTTGTGTTTTTAAGAGTTCATGCTATCCAAATCAGAATTACTATAATTTGAAGCTGCGAAAATTAAAGGGGGAAAAAAAAAAGAAAGGGAAACGAGGAAAAAAATCAAAATATTATGGCACCTCAAAGACTAACAGATTTACTTCAGCGTGAGCTTTTGTAGCTCAGAATCCCCTTCTTCAGAGGAACATTATCTGAAGAACTGGATTTTGATCCACAAAAGCTCACAATGAAATAATCCATTAATCTTAAACATGCCACAATATTTTGTCTTTTTGTTCTCTCTTCTGTCTTTTCTCCCTTTGATTTTGCTAGTGTGTAAGACTGACTAATACAGCTCTTTCTCTGAAGATTGCTGTAATTTGAACTGTGAAGCAAAAGCCTTTTATCTTTAAATAAACCAGCTTTTCTTTTCCTCATAACATTGTCCCAAACTACTTCATTTTCTTCCTAATGACCCTCTAGACAAAATATCAGCCATATGGAATAGATTTCCCTCTTTTGCTAGAAGTTTTAATTTAATGAATTTTTTGTTTGTTTTCTGAGAAAGCTAATGGGTATTTTCAGCCTCTCCACAGTAGCTGCATTTAATCTAAATGTGATTTTGTAGTTAATGTTGGCCTACAACCTTCAGTCATCATAACCTGTTAACCTGGTTCTGTGTACTAGCCCATCTTCATAACCAGCAACATCTCAGAATCCTGTCTTGTTCTTAACTTTCCCTCTTCCTGCTGCCACCATCAACATTAGGCTGAAATAGGCAAAATGAGGAAGAGAACTGTACCATGCCCTTTTCTTCGTGGTGTGTCATCAGTCTCCATCTTGCTTTTCCCTACTGACCTGGCCCCACATGCTCCAGATTCCAGTGGATGGATGCCACATGTGGGGAGATTGAATTGGGGCATGTGTAAAATATTCCTCTTTATTTTTCTTTCCAGATAGTAAAATGTTGCTTCTTCTGTTCTCCTTCCCTGTGTTCTTATTCCTTCTCCCGCCAACCCCCTTGACCTTCTTCCCCTGCCCCTCTATCTTTCCCCTTTCCCAGTGTTCCAGTGAGGGCAGCACTTGGGTGCTACTTCCTCCCTAGCACCGAAATGTCCATCTTTGGCGCTGGGAGCCAACATGACTACAGTGCATTCTTTCCATCCCATCTCATGTCCCCCATCAATCCCGAAACCATGCAAAACAGGAGCACAAGGATGGAGACAGCGGAGAAAGAGAGAGAGAGAGACAGAAGTCAAGCATAGAAGAGCACAAGAGTATGAAACTGAGAGAGGCTATATCTTGCCTCACTCTTCTAGAAGATATTAATAATAATCAGGTGGCATCAAGTCAATTCTGACTTATGGTGACGCTCTTCAGGGTTTCCAAGGTAGAGAATATTCAGAAGTGGTTTACCCTTCCCTTCTTCTGGGGGAGCCCTGGGACTGTGCAGCTTGCCCCAGGCTATGCAGGCTTGCTTTTCTGAGCTATCCAGCCTAAACAGAAGGTCAGATGCAGGGTGGTGAATAAGCACCTCTCTCTCTCACACACACACACACACACACACTCCCTCTCTCTCTCTCTCTCTCACTTTCTCTCATCTTTCCTTCCATCTGGTCATCTGTTCCATCAATGACCCATCCATCCATCTTCCATCCACTGCCAAATTTCGACAGCAAATAAAACTCTTTCGATATTCCATGTTTACAAGAAGCTGCCGGAGGAAAAAAAAGCTCTTTTCCCCATCCTCTGTGAAGGAGATGGGGAGCATGTTTACATGTTTGCCGGAAAGAAATGAAACACAACCAGTGCAGCAAGGAGGAGAGAAAAGACTTCTTCTTAGATCTCCTGCTTTCATCTGTCATGTTTACAAAAGACAACAACCAAGGATGAGACAGATTGGGGACCTGTGCCATTGATTGGTTCAGAAGCTGGATGTGGTGGGGTGGGCGTTTGTACTGAATCGTTATGCATCAGAAAATGAGGGAGTGAAGTGGTGTGGCCAGCCTTGATTAAGTTGCATACATCCCAGAGCTGTGAAAAGAGGATGGCAGAAGCAAATCCATTCTCCACCCAGCCAACAGAATAAGGAACAACAATGACATTTTATGTTGTTGGATGAAGGAAGGAATACAATCAACATCAAGAGACTTGAGCGCCGAACAAATTAGTGGAACAAACGGGACTGGTGGAATTTGAATGCTGAAAGTGTAAGGAAAGTGGAAGAGGCAACGGAGGAGGAAAAAGAGAGAATGACCAAAGAGCCCTGAAAAGGAGAGAATGGACCAGGAGAGTGATGAAGAGTTTTATGAAAAAGATGAAGAACCACCAAAAAAGGAGGAAGCAAATAAGACAGGTAAAGAAGGGGAGAGAAGGGCAGGAGAGGAAACAAAACAGGTTAATAGAAGAAGACATATAATAAAGGGGAGGAAAGCAGCACGCTTTAATAAAGGAACAGGCACTGCTACATTTTATGTGAGAAAACTGGAGTGAATGAAATGGTGGATCCAATTCAAAGAGGGAACACACATAAAAGGGACGTAGACCCATCTGGTTCCTTTGTTTTAAGGGGCGAGGTGCAGCTGTATGGACACAGTTGGAAATTTTTTGGCCAGGACAGAAATCTTTGCCAGGTAAATGAACGTGGAAATTTTTCAATGGGAAGAAAATCTGAAGTAGGTCGAAATGCGTGTATTAACTGTCAGCATGGCTACTGGCTGAGCGTGTTTTGGTAAAATTGGAACTACAAGGCAGCAATTAAGAAGGAGCTGGGATATTGACATGATCAAACTTCAGGGCAGGTACAGGGCAAGCTAAAGAGGAGAAATTGTGGAGGTGGTTAAGATGATATTAAAGGTTTCTGGCTGTTGATGTTGATCCTTCCTTAGTGTCAGTTTGTGGATTGTGGACTCGCTTGTTTAGTTTTAGACAGAATTTTGAAAAATAACATTTGGTTGACAGCTCTCAGAATACCTTGGCCAGCACAGCTATTGGCTCTGCCAGCTGGAGGTTTCTGGCAGTTGTCATCGAATAAAACAGAATTGTCCATGCTCTAATTTTTGTATATGTCTGTCTATGGAAGGCAGAACATGCACTTAGTGGGGCAACAAGAGATGCTCTGTGGAAACCACAAACAAAATCCTGTTGCTTAGTTTAGTAAATTGCACTAGAATAGGCTCATTTAATAAGTGTGGATTTGGTAAGTCAACTTCTCCATAAGTTCCATTGATCTGAAGGGGCCTACTCCAATGACAACTTACTTCAGCATAGTCAACTCTTCTGTAAGTTCCATTTGAATCAAAGAATTTATGGAGGAGTTGACTCACCAAGTTTCCATTCATTCAATGGGGCCTATTCTAGTGTGATTTACTATTGTAGGCAACAGGATTTTGCCCCATGGGTTGAATCCAGACTTTGAACAGACACACTGAAAATCAATGGGCCTTTAATATGTCCCATTACATGAACATACAGATTGCATGGCTTCCAACTGGTTTGCTCTGCATACAACCTCATGATCTTACGCTGGCCTCTGCTTTATTTCCGATGCTTTAAATTTAGAATGGGTAACATATGGCCATACAGACGTTGTGTAACTATAACTCCTATCAGCCCTAGCCTGCATAATAAACAGTGAGGACTGATGGCAGTTGCAATCCAGCAACAACCCAGGGCCAGTGTGTGTGTGTGTCATCCCACAACTTCTGTACAGCCATATGTTCTCTATACCTAAATTAGAGCTTCAGAAATAAAGCAAACACCATGTAGCAAGGAACATGTAGCACGACACATGAGTCAGAAAGTCAGCCTCAAAATATATGATGGGAGAAACGTGTGAGTGAGTGTGAGGAAGGAAGGAAGGAAGGAAGGAAGGAAGGACATAGAGAAGTGTATGTTATCACCATATATATATGGAAAAAGTATTTTGGGGACTACAGCTTCAGGATTTTTTATGCTAGGTGGTGGGATTCTGTGAACTGCAGTCTTAAAAATCAATGTTTCCAAGCTGTTAAATATATACTCAGTGGAGAGAACTGAGTAATAAAATGGCGGATGGATGAAGCTGTACAACTACCTACACATAGGATTACAGAACATGAAGAAATAAAACACCACTCTAAATGGCTGGCTACAAATGTAAGTCAAGACAATTCAAAAGTCAAAAGCCAAGTTTAAAGGCAGCCTGGGATACCAAACCAGAATGACTGGATGAAGAAAACACCAAAAAGCTACAGTGGCCCACTGAAATGAAAGGATGAGAAAGGAATTGGGTGGACAGAGGAACACCTAATGCTTAGATGAAAACTAGGGAAGTTCTCTTTTCCAGAATGGAATAGATAGCAATTCAACTTGGATGAATACATACACTAGAGAATGCATATCTCTTTTTCAGTGAAATAAGGGAGAACAGCACGAAGTTATGAGAATATTTGTAACCAGAATTTTTAAAAAGGCAAAAAGGTATGCTGGTATAGAAGAGTTGAATGATGCTTCACTGACAGACACATATACCTTACAGTGTACACAGTATACCAAACAACAACAACAACAACAAATATTTTTAAAAGCCTGATGGACAATCGTGTATGCTAATGAACAGGAACAATTGGGGTGGGGTGGGGGAAGGGCACCAGCAAATAGTTGTGTGTGTCAGACACGAATTTACACCCGGCACAATGTGACTTTAAATTTTTGTTTTCTTTCGCAGACTGTTACACAATGGGGGATTAAGTGGGTGAGAGGGTGGGAATATGGGGTGGGGTGATCTGTTGTCTTCACCTAAAATCTTGTTTAGGATGAGGACAGAGGGCTTTATTTTGGGGGAGAGGTGTCCTTAAACCTCTTTCTCTCTTAATCCCATCTGCACGACTTATTAACCTCTGATCATCTTTGTCAACCAGCCCTCAAAAAGAGAGAAAAAAAGAATAAATTGCCTTTCCTTGCATGTTACAAAACAGCCTCCCTTAATATGGGGTCCCCAAGATGTGTTGGACTACAATTTCCATAATAGCTGTTGTTGGGTTGTGGAAGTTGTAGTGCAATACCTCTGGAAGGACCCAAGTCGGCGAAAGCCAGTGCAGAATGGAGGGCAATTTTAGCTTTCTCTTTTCCCTTTCCCCTGCCTTCTGGAGACAATGAATCTCTAGGAGCTGGGAAAAGGGATGGTAGAGGTGGGTTGCTGTACTTTGATGTTGAAATGCAAGTATTCTATCTGCATGTTTTTATATGCTCATAATTGGGGATGGGGAGGGAAAGCGGTGGGGTGGGAGGGAGAGAAATCAGAAACTTGAAATTGGAGAGAGAGCATTGAGAGTCTGTTCTAGAGCAGGAGTCAACATGGAGGTGCTCAAATGAGCAAAACATTGGCTACCCTAGAGAAGTAATGTTTGGAAGGGTCAGCAGGTGACTCAAGGGTAACTTGGCAGGGAAGATGGTGTACAGTTCAGTGGGATATAGTGGCAAGGAAATACTATGAAGGTGATGGGTCCACGAAAATCCAGCGATATCCCAAATCTCTCATATGGAAGGGACAAAACATTCAGAGCTAAGGAATCCTTTTGGAATTAGCAGTAGATAGACGCTGAAGTATGGGTGCTGCCGAAGGGGTTGGACGCCCAGAGAGATCAATTGACCATCAGTTCCTTAGGGGGAGAGGACCTGTTCTGCCACCCTTTTAGCAAAAATGGCCTGTTGGTAGAATTTATTGCCACAGTATATTTCAGAGAGAGGGTTTATCTGAAAGTTACCTTGTCCCTTGACCCACTCCTCCAGTTCTACAAAACAATAAGTTGCCTTCAATTTTTACCCTCATCATAAATGTGCTTTAAGAAACAACTAGAGCTGGAGGAGATGGGAGGGAGTGGAATGTAAAAAGAGTTGAGAAATTGGAAATATGACTATGGAAGTTGTCAAAATGGAAGATGGTTTGCTGTGGGGAAAGAGGGGTTTTTACATTTACACTTATCAGCTATTGAATGAAAACCATGTAACCTATATCTTTGACATGATGCTTGATAGATGTTCTCATATGTGGGGTGGGCAAAATTTTGGATGCTAAAAAACAAAGTTTGCTTTATTATACAATTTTAAAGGGGGTTAGGTTTTTAAGGGGGAAGAACAGGAGGGAGATTTTATTTTTTATTTCCTGTCCCCCTAGCTTTTGAGATATAGTTTAGTTTCTCACTTTTGTGGAGTACTTGTTGTGGCTTCACATGCCACAGTGTTGAGGAGTAACCAGGAAGCATCACCTATGCCTTGCACTTTCTGTCCCTCTACCAAAGGAAACAGAAATTTTCTCAGTTTGTGTGCAAGGACAACGCATGAGCAAAGATTTTGTTGCTATGAAAACAAATTTAAATCATGCCATTATTCCAGACACAAAGCACAGTGCAACATTGCTTATATGGTGCTTATTACATACTACTCACCACAATCAATGCTTCTATTGACCAAACCTATTTACTTTGTTGTAAATCCGTTACTGTTTCATTCTCTTGCATTTTTCTATTCAGGTTCTTCCCTATTATTTATTCTTGCCAACGGAAATGATTTTTGTTGGAAACATAGAAGGGTGGTGGTCTTTCTGAGCTAGAACTAATCAAATCCTTTTGTGGGATTCAAAATTGTTTTATTTTGAGGGGGGGGAATGTTGTTGTGAATTGTTACAAATCCTGATACCCATTTGTATAAAGAAATGGTGAGGGGAGGGAGGGGGAAAGGGGATGTGGTGAAATTATAAACTGCTACAGATTTTTGTATCGATGCATGAATTGAGTAAATAAACTCAGGTGCATGAAGTCGGCATATCTCATTTTATCCGAGAGATCTCAGTTTCAGATGCGGGCTGCTCCCTATTACTGTTTTAACCCACTGCTTTTTAAAATCTACAGAAATCCATGTCCAGTTCCCTCATAAAATAATATGCAGGTGTGTGTTTCATTTCAGAATAACTTAGAGTTTGGGAGGTTACCTGGGGGGAAATACAACTACTTAACAGCAGTTGTGGGTAACGTCCACCCCCCTGCCGACATCTGATCTCACTCACTCTTGGCTCTAGACAACAACATGTACCCCAAAAGATTGCATAAGGAAAAATGGGGCTCTCTACAGAAGAAAACTAATTTTTGATCTCTACAGTTCACACAGATTGCCAGTCATGAGGTAAAACAAATCCTGGACTCTGCCTTTGCAAAGGCAGATCAAGGAGAATTCAGTGGAACTTTCTGCACTTACAAAAACACAATAGTAAGAAGGTTAAAGTAGAATTCATCTCGTTAAGGTTTATTTGGTTGGTAGTTCCAAGGTCTTCTAGTATTCTGATGTGGTATGGTCCAGCGTCTCACCATAGGCATCCTTCAGTCTCAAGAGACTATGGTAACGTGCTCTGTATCGAGAAGTGTCCTCTCCAGAGCATGAAGCCTGGGTAAAGTAATATGGAGGATAGGCTGTTACCCAAGCAGCAGATCCCCCCTCTCCATGTTGCTGAAATGGTCCAATGGAAAGGTAAGCGCCAATACAACTGGTAACAGCAACGTCGCAGGAGTTGGCAGAACGACACGAACTGTCTTCGGGACTCCAGCTCCGGATTTTGCCTCTAGGTTAACTCCTGAAGCCTTTTCCATGAGTGGATATAGAGACAAGGCAGTGGAGGATTGAAATTGGAGTTTTCCTTCTCCTAGATGGGCTGCCTTCCATAGCTGACAAGCCCCACCTACCTGGTCCAGCGTCTCATTGACACGTGAATTACATAGAAAAAGGCCTCTGTGTTGAGTGGCCGACCATTAGAAACTGATGGCAGAACCAAAGAACATCATGGGAATGGTGTCTAGGCCTAAAGGGCAAGAAAACTTGGCTTGTCATGAAGGCCAAAGGTTTTAAAGATAATAAATTCAGGAGTGCTGTATGCTAGCAGTGAACAGGGTTGACCTGCAGGAGTGAGCAAACCCCATTCTATTAACTCTTCCTCACACACAGCACCTCCCCTCATGGAAATCAGGCTTTTAAAAAGCCTTTGGTGGTGGTGGAAGATCCGTTTTTAAATAGAGTGGCCCACAGTGGCTTTTAATACTTGACACCAATAGGGAAGAGAAAATGAAACTGTCTCATCTACATCTGATAAGCAGCAAAAACTTTTCAGAAGCAAGCCTAGTGACTCGATAGGATTCTCCTACAAGTCATAAATTTCCGATTCTTAGGAATCTAATTAGTAAAGCAGGAGGGTGGGCAGGATGACCATCAGGGGCTACAAATATATCTCTCAGTGATGGGAAGTAGACCAGCAAGGATTTATAGCATTCAGTGGCAATAACTGAACTGAACTGAACTTGTAACACTATTGGTTTAACTGTTTTTAAATTTGTAATACTGCCCAGAGTAGACCTTTGGTCTAGATGGGTGGGGTAGACATCTAATAAAATAAATAAATATACATAAATAACTAAAAAGAAAGAGTGTGGGTGTTTGGGCAGGGGTGTGCGTGCATTTCAAATACCCAAGATTTGGGTTTTACTGCAGAACAACTGTAAATTCCTGGGCTCACAATAATTTGGTTCTAAGTGTATGCCTTTTGAACAATCTTACAAGAAAACAGAAACATCCAAGGCAGATGCCACAAGCTTGAACTCTGCCCTTCTGTACACACACACACAAAACACAACAAACCCCCCACACACACACCCTTTATCATATTGTCACTCTTGACAGTTTCCACAGTATAGTTAAATTATGAGCTGAGAACTGTGGTTGTGCTACACCCACCATCATCTTAGTGTTTCCTCAAGTTCCTTATATAAACCATTACCTCAGAGACAGCCAAATTAAGACACAGTACCAGAGGGTCACACAGATGATCTTTATTATACCAAGCCTCACTGTACTGAGAAAGAGAGAGATAGATACACCGACCTATTGCACTAAAAACATAGGTTGTAAAAACATATGTATAAATCACACAAAAGTCATGGTAGAGGGGGTTGGTCAAGGTGTGGTATTGACATAGAGAAGGTAAGAAGGCCTGGTTTGGTAATGCTAGTTCACACCATGCAGGAGACAGTGTGGGACAAACCAGGGAAGCAAATAGGAATAATTTTTACCTCAGTGCATGTGAGCCTCCTCACCCTTTTCAACTGAGGAAGATACAAAGCAAAGCAATATGGTTTGTTTCATTATATGAAGACAAGGGATCAGCAATCGCTATTTAGATCTGATCCACTCAGTGCAGCCACCAAATCTGGAGTGCCACTTCACTTATATGAAGACAAGGGATCAGCAATCGCTGATCTGATCCACTCAGTGCAGCCACCAAGTCTGGAGTGCCACTTCAGCTGTCCTTCTAATATGGCTGACAGATCCCACCACCATCTTCTTCTTCTGTCTCCTCTCCCATACCAGCTTCAATCCCAGTTCTAAACATAAGGATCTGGCCTTTGTGAGCAACCCTAAAAAATAAGTGTCTCAAATAGTCACTGTGTCACTGTAAACTGAGCTGTCATTGAGAAAGGGGGCAGAACGATGCAGCAATATGGCAACTTGTGCAAATGTGCAAATGATTGCAGGTGACAACAGGTGTCCAAGACAATGTTCCCAGTTATCTTTAAAAAAACATGTTTCTGCCTTCCAAGGAATTTCACAAAAGGCAATGTTTATTTCAGTAAAAAGGATAAAGGAAGGTAGACAAGATGGATGCTAAAGCCAGTTGTCATTTACCTCCCAATAGGATTCTACTGATCTTCTTCAAAAGCATCAGTGCATGATTGAGGAAGAAGAATAGCAGGTTCTAACTATGGTCCAGCTAAAATTGTGTGCAAAGCTGTAGAAATGATGTGTGAAGAAAAAAGCCACAGGAATAAAGCTTACTGCTACCCTTCTCTACAGGAAAAACAATTGATAGCATCAGAGGAAATAATACAGATCCTGAAAACGAAGTGCTGTTGAAGAGAAGGATGTCTGACAAAGCAGGATTTCTAAATACCTGTTTCCATCTTGCCAACCTTATATGACTCAAGCACTTCTACCAGGACAGCCTAGATCAGCGGTCCCCAACCTTGGGCCTCCAGATGTTCTTGGGCTTCAAGTCCCAGAAATTCTGGCCATCAGAGGTGTTGCTGAAGGTTTCTGGGAGTTGTAGTCCAGGAAGATCTGGAGGCCCAAGGTTAAGGACCACTGGCCTAGATCATCTGCTAAATAGATGCACAAAGGTTAAACTGAACAACAAGAGAGAATTCCAGGAGGATAATATTGCACAGCGGGAACTGGGATCTTAAGACTCCAGGCCCTCATAGGATTATAGAAGTACTTGAGGGCTGTAGATTGGACAGATGTAAACAGGTATTTAGGAATTCTGTTTGCCAGACATAAGAACATCAGAAATTCATTTTTTAAAAACTTGTATTAGCATGGTCAAAAGTAAATAATAGCCAAATGGCTAATTCACTCCTTTCTGAGGCCCAGATAAACACATACAATTTTGAGAATGATTCTGTCATTTTTTGAGGGTGGGGGAGCTAGGACAGGGCTGATCACAATTCCTCTCCCAGCTGAATTTTGTTCCCCCAAAGATAACACCTGCAGGATGATGCAGAGACCTCAAAAATCTCCAGTGACACCCAATTAAGCTCTCTTTCAAAATGGTGGGCCATATTTCCTCTTTTTCAACCCAAGGTTTAGGCAAATTCTGCCTGATTAGCCCATTTTCTCCTATACAGTGCAAGACATTATATAGGAGTGAAGGGGGAAGACAGGACCAATTTCATCATCCCACACAGACCACAAACTTAATGATGGGAAGGTGGGGTCATCACATCAAGCAAGAAATGCATCACCAGAGTGGCTAATTTGAAGTGAAGCCTCAGCCCACTGTGGGGAGGGTCAGAAGGTAGTCCCACAAGGAGAGCAAAGGGAGTAATGGTTCTGGTCGTCTGCTACAGCCTTGAAATGCTACTCCCTTTTTGCCCGTTCAGCAGCATCCAAGGCAGCCATATTGCACGAGGCAGAGACCAAGTGGATTAGGCTGATGAGACTCTTCGCAATGGCAATGGGAGCGCAAACCCATAGAACGAGGCGGTAGAGGCCAATGGGTCCTGCCAAGACTGGAAGGTAAACAAGAAAATGAAGAAAAAGAGGGTGAGATGGAGGGGGTTGTCCGATATGCCCCTGTATTTCCAAACCACCAGCCCATCATTGTTCCAGCACTACATACTCACTTTCTGGTCCTTCACCAAAACACAGCAAGTACAGCATACAGTAAAAGAGTTCATTACCAGCGCACATAATGAAGAGGACGGTCTGAATGTAGAGAGAAAGAGAAAATAAGTGTCAGACAAAACAAGTGGGGAGAAGACAGCAGAGAAAAGCTACTCACGGCAGTGAACAAAGCCTCAGCATGTATAGATTCAATAATGTTTTGTCACTGCTTGATTAAAACAAGCATATTATATGGCCTTATAACATCATGTAAAAATTAAGACGAACAAAGAAAAAAAAGGGGGGGAGAAAGGAAAAAAAGTGGAGGTAATAAAAGCAGCATCCAGTTACTCCCAGAGTCGGGAAATGTTAGCTTTTTTCAATGTCATCTCCCAGAATCTCACAGCCAGCATGGCTAACAGTCATGCTGGTTGTGGGATTCTGGAGCTGTTGTGTAGAGAACTAAAATTTCACATATCTAGTCATTGAAAATGAGTAGCTACCTTTCCTAGATATTTTCAGGGAAACAGTAGCCCAGCCCTATTCTCTGAAGGCTTATGTTGGAATCCCTTCACAATGGAGCCTATAATTTTGATGCCATCTCAAGGAAACATCCAAGTAATGGAGGCCTCCAGAGAAGAATCTCAACCTAGAAGGACAATTAAGTTGAATTAAGCAGTCCCTTCAGCTATTCTCAGTCCAGAACATTTAAGCTTTTAAGGTTAGCCCTAGCACTACAACAATGAAAGGGAATAATCCCTAAAACACTCTGCCCATCCACGCCAATGGGGTGGTGATGCTTTAAATTAAAATAGGATAGTCAAGGATGGAGACCTCCTTCCCATGAACACCTTAAAAGTGATTCACATCCTTTATCACATTCTAAGCCTTGCAAAGTAGATTAGTGTGATTATTCCCATACTGCAGATGGACTGACCGAGTCCAAGAGAGAATGGTTTACCTAATACCATCTAATGAATTCTGGACTGAGGTTAGATGAGATGCTAGAAAATTCCTGATTCATAGTCCCATCTCTTACACTGCAATCTTATACAGTTATACCACAAAGTCAGTCCCACTGAGTTCAACATAAATTACTGTGCATAAAAATTGGCATAGAATCATCAGTGTAAAAATATTTGGGGACCAAAAAATAAAAATCACTGATGCTTGTCTAATTCATGGCACTCTGTTGCACATTTCTTAAGGAAAGCTAGAGGTGAGCATCACACTCTACTTGTCCCTGATTTGGAGTGGAGGGGAGAAAGGCTGAAGAGAAGGAAATTTCACAGGGGAGTGACCAATACAACATCATGTTATGGAGGAAAGAGTCAGGGATGATGTCAAAGGTTACGGCGGTGACTGGAGACACACAACAGAAAGAATCTAGAGAGGAGCTCTAGACAAATACAACTCACCCGTGAGTTGTAATATATTCGCAGAATCTTGTTCCCTGATAGGTCAATGCTCTTGTGGCTCTCTCCACCTTTCACCACAGTGCTGGTGGGATCAGAATGAGAACATTCAAATGAAGAGTTCAGAACATTCACCTTTCCCACCTCATCACCCCCAACACTGACATGTTCAGCACCTTCAGCATCTCTTATGGCTATCTAGATTGTTGCTTATTTAAAAAAAGGAAAAGAAAGAAGGATCATCCAGTAAATATTTTTTAATTTAATTTTTACACCACCCTTTCTTCTCCAAAGGACCCAAGATGGCTTACGTTATTAAAAGACATTGTTAAAACTAACAACTGTAAATATACAAATACTGTACTAAAAAGAATCAAACAAATACCATATTAAAAAACACAAACAACACCAGAAGCAGTAGAGTACAATAATTCATTTAAAAATCCCACTCAGGCAGCCAGTCACTATGGGAAAGTTTGCCTGAAGAGTAAGGTCTTTGTATTCTCGAAGGCTTCCACCTGATCCCACAGCTACAAATACTCAACAATCCCAAACACGACACCAGAACACAGACAGAATTCTAGCTCCTGTCCTCTGAAGATGCCGGCCACAGAGACTAGTGAAACGTTAGGAAGAAAAACTTCGAGAACACGGCCAAACAGTCCGAAAAACGTACAACAACTATAGAAAGGTCTTTGCCTGCTTGTGGGAGGATAGTCAAGATGGGGCCTGTCTAGCCTCCTGTGAGAGGGAGTCTCAGAGTCTGGAGCAGCCACAGAGAAGGCCCTCTCCTGTGTCCCCACCATACACACTTGTGAAGGTGGCGGGACCGAGAGGAAGGCCCCTCCTGATGATCTTAACACTCTATCAGGCTCATAAAGGGAGACATGATCCTTAAGTTAGCTTGGGCCCAAGTCATTTAGGGCTTTATCAGTTAAAACAACTACACTGCTTCACAGCAATCCCTATTTTGAGAACTGAAGGAAGCTGCTGTTTAAAAATTTTACAACTCCCCAAATCCCCCCAGCCAGCATGGCCTGTGGCTACTATCATCCAAACAATTGATTTTCCTGATCTCATCTACTCTCTCACGTCACACACCTCAAAACTGTGTCTGCTTAAAAAAAACACACACAACTATACTCTTCCAAAAAAAAAACAAAAACAATTTGTACAGCTTTTCTTCCAACAACCTAGTTTTCATAACAGCAAAAAAAAACCCCAGCAATAGTACAATAAAAGTGGTAAGCATCTTAATGCATTTCATGTGTATCACCATATTTAATCTTTACAATGCTCTGTAAAGGAGAGCAGTGTTACTATCCCCATAATGCAGATTGGTTCACTGAGTCTAAGAGAGAGAAGCTTGCCTAATACCTAGTGAATTCTTGGCTTGGATGAAATAAGAGGGTAGGTGGCTATACTCAACTCAGAAGGTCGCTATACTGAGTCTAACACGACTTCCATTCCAAAAAGTATATCGGATCAATCAATACCCTTGGTCACTAAAAACTGAAGATTTTTCTTTAAAGGTGGGGGGCATAGTCATAGTAGGGCTGCACAATGGGTTTCATCCAGTACCATATCTGAAAGGTGTCACAGCCGAAGGGCCAGGGACACCGCAAAGCTAATAAATGAGAATCTGAAATCTTCCAGTGCTATTCTGTTCAGGTCTACTCAGAAATAAGACCAACTGCACTCAGTGAAACCTACTTCCAAGAAAGCATGCATTCTTAGCTAGTAACCTTTATTTTTTATATCAGGAAGGCCTGTTGTCCAAAAAAGGGGGCATTAATTCATTCCCCCAGGAGAGGAATCATTACATAGGAAAGCACATGTTTGCATGTAAAATTTCCACATTCAGTCCTTAGTGTTACCTGAAAGGACTAGGAAGACCTCTGCCTAAGAACTGCTGTAGGCAGCCCTGGCTTGGAGATGGACTGAGACGGAGGTGAGAGAAAGCAGCTTCCTATATTCCCACATAGCACCAGTTCATACCTGTGGAGATGAAGCCAATGGGAGGCCACATCCAGGCTCATGCTCAGTTGGAACCAGAGGGCAGATTCAGGATAAAGCATAGCCAGATTTACCAAGAGGCACATAGTGGCACAGCGGTCGGTCAACATGTCCAGCATGGCGCCGAAGCGGGTACCTGGAACAGAAGCTTTACATTAGGAAGGGGGAGGCGCCGAAGCGGGTACCTGGAACAGAAGCCTTACATTAGGAAGGGGAAAAGGTGTGTGTGGTTTTTTTTTTCAAAACAAGGCACAACAACAGAGAGGAAGAGAGGCACACAGTCAGGATGGGGAAAGGATGGCCCTTCAGAAGTTCTGGGACTTTGCAACTCCGGTCCGTCCTAGCCATCATAACACATGCTGAAGAATCATAGGAGCTGCAGCTCCCCAAAAAACATCAGTTCCCAAGCCCAATGGAACTCGTCCACCATCTGAACTGAACGCAGTTCACCGGCCTTATGTGCTCAGCAAAATTTTGCAGTCCCAGGTAGGTAACAAAAACCTGTGGTTCTGGCAAACTGCCATATATAAGAATGTAAGAAAAATCATGCTAGATGAGGCCAGAAGTATATCTAGTCCACCATCCTGGTTCATAGCCAGTCAGATGTTTCTGGCAAGCGCACAAGGAGGTCATGACCACAATGGCACCCTTGTGCTCATGTTGCCCAGCAAATAGTGTTCAGAGGTGTACTGCCTCAGATACAAGGAAGAATACGTGTGTGTGTGTTTAGTCGTTTAGTCGTGTCCGACTCTTCGTGACCCCATGGACCAGAGCACGCCAGGCCCTCCTATCTTCCACTGCCTCCCGGAGTTGTGTCAAATTCATGTTGGTTGCTTCGCAGACACTGTCCAGCCATCTCATCCTCGGCCGTCCCCTTCTCCTCTTGCCATCACACCTTCCTCACATCAAGGTTTTTTCCAAGGACTCTTTTCTTCTCCTGAGATGGCCAAAGTACTGGAGCCTCAGCTTCAGGATCTGCCCTTCCAGTGAGCACTCAGGGTTGATTTCCTTTAGAACTGATAGGTTTGTTCTCCTTGCAGTCCAGGGGATTCTCAAGAGCCTCCTCCAGCACCACAATTCAAACGCATCAATTCTTCGGCGGTCTGCTTTCTTTATGGTCCAGCTCTCACTTCCATACATCACAACAGGAAAAACCATAGCTTTGACTATTCAGACTTTTGTTGGCAATGTGATGTCTCTGCTTTTTAAGATGCTGTCAAGATTTGTCATCGCTTTCCTCCGAAGAAGCAGGCATCTTTTAATTTCGTGGCTGCTGTCTCCATCTGCAGTGATCATGGAGCCCAGGAAAATAAAATCTGTCACTGCCTCCATATGCTGAGCACAAGGAAGAATACACTGAGTGCCAAATTCTTCATGAGATTCTTGAGTACCTGGTGTTAAACTGCTTTGGTAGTGGCTCCCAGGATCACAGCTAAGAATTTTTAATTTTTATATTTTGGATGGTGATGCCCAGAATTTCTTATAGAGGATACAATTCTGGGAGCCATAGGGCAGAAAAAAGGAACTTTTCCAAGATGGGCTGTTGAGGTACATGCGAAGAAACATGACATACTTTATTCTACATCTCTTGAAACAGAAAAGCACAAGAGTTTTGGTTATTAATCACAGAACATCAGAAATCGCAGTGACTTCGATTCATTCTTAATCCCAAACAGAGTAGAGCCCTTGAATGGATGGAACTAATTTTATCAAACGGCAAATCTGAGGATTCCACAGGATGAAGCCATGGCAGTGACAGTGGAACTAATCTACTTTGTCTAGACACATTCAACTGAGGGAAAATATGCGTGTGTCCCCACTACTCCCCATGTTGCAAGGCAGAAGTTGCTTACCTTGGTTAAGGGCCCGGGCTGCATGACCATCAAAGGCATCAAGGAAACCACTAAACAGGTAAAAGAATGATGCCACCACATGGGACGTTGGCATAAAATAGAAAGCAATGAAAGCGAAAATTATGCGGGCATAACCTGTGAATGGAAGGAAAAAACGGCAATGTCCTTGAATCATCCCTCTTCAAAATCCACAGTCCTCCCTCCTCATCCAAAATTCACTTGATGCATCTCTACTGTTACTCAAAGCTAGAGGCTGGTAGAGAAGCCTTTGGGACTACAAATCCCAGAACTCTTCAGACAACAGAGCTGCTTGCTAGATTGCCTGGGACATTTTGGGCGCTCTAGTCTCTCCTAACATTTGTTTTACAATGCTCTGCCCACAACCTTAACTCTCAGTTTTCTACGCAAGAGTCTGACTAAGCTTTATGTCTATAAAATTCCCTTTTGCTGCATGGATGCTGAAGAAAAATAATGAGTTCCCAGATTTTAAAGACAGCCTGTTCCTTCCTGACATATAGACCTACTACTACCACAAAAAAGTGGGGTCTACAACAAGATAGGATTAGGGCCTTCCACAAGGCAATGCAAGGTGACGGTTGCAGGCAGTGGATTTGGGAGGTCAGGAAAGAAGTGCAAATTGTTACTTATCTGCTTTGCTCTTCTTGCACTTTGACGGCCAGGGAAGATCAGACGTACTTGTGGGACTTCTTTTGCCTCATTTGCCAAAACGAACTTGCCTGGTTTTGGGTTCTAGGCACTTTGACAAGGGTGGAAGGTGGGGGAAGGGGGCACCTCAGGCAGCAAAAGGTCCTGGGCTGGCCTTGGGCAGGTGAGTCACTTGGTCCCTCACCAGCTCTGAAGGAACCCTTCTGGTTTCTGCCACTGTTTCTGGCAGCATTTCCATTTAGGAAAGGAGCAGAACAGGAGGAATTGGACAGGGTGGAAGAATGATGAATGCACAAAGCTGGGAGACAAGACAGGGACGGGCAAGAGGCAGGAGAGCCTAAGAACAAACCAGTAGCCCTAGCAGATCACATCCAAAGTCCCTTCAACCTAGGCTCCCATCTTTCCCAGAGAGGCCAACTAGGTGCTTTTGGGAAGAGGATCAAGGAGCCCTTTCCGCTCCTTGGGGTCTGTTTTTGGAGATGCACTCAAGCATCTCATGGGCAAGCATCATCGCTGGAAAGCATCCACACCTCTAGATCCAGGACCCATTGCATCACCATCCTGGGCAGTTTTACTCAGAATTAAGCCCCTCGGTGTTCCACAGGCATGACTCCCGGGGAATGCATTTAGGGACCCTTGCTTCGCAAAGGATCTCCTCCTTTACCCGAGCAACTCCTCAGCCCCTGCATCCGCTCAACTCTAAAGAGTCGCCCACGAGCCCACAACGTACCAATGAGGTTGGGGACGAAGAGGAAAATATTTTCTTCCTTCATCTTCCTGGCAGCTGTCGGTCTGCTGCGGAGTCCGGAGCTTTCCTGCAGATCCTGCCCAGCCCCAAGGCAAGATTGAGATCATGCAACACCCGCCACAAGACCCTTCCCTCTCCTCGCAAGGGACCCAGGAGTCCTACTCCCCGCCCCGCTTCTTCTCTAAGCTCACGGTCTTTCCCAGGGGGACTCCCTCGCACCCACCCCCCTTTCTCGCTCTCCTGCTGCTCCAATTCCACAACTTTTCCGGGCTGTGCAATCTTCAGCTACTCTTCTCCGGCTGAAAAGGGGTTAACTTTCCACCTGTCCCCTTAAAAGGACTAGCGATGCATAGCACCTTCCTGGGTCAGGCTGTACCAAAATGAGTACTGTACAGGGTTGCCTTTTTCTTTTAAGACGCGCTTTGTAATCGAAGAGACAAAATGGACTAGTGCAACGGAAACGTGTTGTACTTTGAGACAGAAATGCCCCCTTTCCTCGGCTTCAACGGTTAATGTTTATTTCCTGTTTCCTACATTTTGTTCCTAGACAAAGCACCTCTCCGGAAATAAATTTTCTCCCGTTTCCCCTATCTTCCATTTGGTTTAGCCCGAACAATAGAATAGGGCAATAGGCTAGAAAGTCTCTTCTCGCTTTCTTTCCTGTTGCTATCCCGTTCATAGAGTACTCGGAGGACAAAAGCTAGAGAGGCTCACTTTAAGAAAATTAACGAGAAGGGTTTTTTAAAATACTGTAGCTTATAGCTGTCTACCAAGAGATGCACTTTCTTTTTCCCATTTAAAGTTACATTTACATCTTTCATTCCTCCACTATTTATTTGGTCTGGCTCTCGTTTTCGAAACATGTATTTTCTTTGCTAATCATGACGAGGAATGGAAACTATTTCTTTCATTAAGAAGTAGCATGACCTCCACCTCCTGTTCCCATAATAATTGTGTGCCTTCACGTCAATTCAGACTCCTGTCGAGTCCTTTCAGGATTTTCTAGACAGAGAATAACCAGAAGTGGTTTACCATTCCCTTCTTCTGGGGACACCCTAGGACTGTGCAGTTTGCCCAGGACTGCACAGGCTGACTTTTCTGGGAACTCCTAACCTGTGGTTCCACAACTAGATACCCAACAGCCTTAGTAATATTGTTGTAATAATATCTATGCAAAGATTTAGGGCAGTTTTCTGAAGCGTGAGCCTCTCCGGAGGGAAAATACCACAACTTCCATTGTCCCACCAGTATCCTAACCTGTGGTTCCACAACTAGATACCTAACAGCCTTAGCAATATTGTTCTAATATCTATGCAAAGGTTTAGGGCAGTTTTCTGAAGCCTGAGCCTCTCCGGAGGGAAAATACCATAACTTCCATTGTCCCACCAGTATAGTGTCCCACCATTACGGTGGGAATTGTAGTCCAGCTCTTCTGGTTGGTCTAAGACAAGGGTCTGAGTTGCATTGCAGTTCAAAAACATCCGAGTAACAAAGGTCAAGAACCACTGGTCTAAGACAAGGGTTATTATGATTAATCTGACAAATTAATTAAAACCAAGAAAGTAACTGAAAATTTCATTTTACAATAAGTTGCCATGTAGCACAAAATAAACTCAAGCATTACTAGTATATTCTGCTTTGCAAACAATACATCCATATGCAGTGATCCGAAATAAAATAGCACGGTAACAAAGGTCAAGAACCACTGGTCTAAGACAAGGGTTATTATGATTAATCTGACAAATTAATTAAAACCAAGAAAGTAACTGAAAATTTCATTTTACAATAAGTTGCCATGTAGCACAAAATAAACTCAAGCATTACTAGTATATTCTGCTTTGCAAACAATACATCCATATGCAGTGATCCGAAATAAAATAGCACGGAGACATCCATATGCAGTGATCCGAAATAAAATAGCATGGAGGATCTCGGCCTTGCTCTCCAGTGACCCATCCTTATACTTGTATTCCATTTGGAATATAAAATTAATTTTAAAAAAAACCTTGTATCTGAGTGACTTCTGTAATGTAATTCATATACTGTACATAAGGCAGAGAGTGTGTTGAAAATGACATGCTAGGTGCAAAAAAACACAGGTAAATCCTTCTCAATTCCCAAAGAGGAAAAAGAGGAAACTCTATGATTATTTCCATGAGAGTATACTCCACTAACATTAAGCTTAATGGCTGAGCAGAGATTTGAATCCAGGTCACTTTCGCATGCAGAATTGAAATGTTGCAACAAATTATACACAGAAGGGAGAATTTCACCTGAGTGTGGCTTTTCATGTCACAGTGTTGCTCTAAATGCATGGGTGACCAAAGTGCAAATGGGCTGCAGCCATGCTGGGCATAGGTACAGGCAGGGAGGGCTGAGGTGAGCTGTATTCCAACAAGATCTGGCATATCAAACTTTGGCCAACCTTGATTTCATGGAAGAAAGAGCACTTGGCTGACTTTTCCCTTCGAGCTGAGTCTGAAAAAAGCTTTTGATCTGACCACTGTGCCCCTCAAGGGGAAAAACAAAGGTTACTAAGGTAAGTAATGACTATTTAGTACAGTTTTAATTATCCCAGCACGGCTCAGCTACTGGATTTGTTGCCATTTTTTGTTGCTAACAAGGTTGCTACCTAAGCCATAAACCAGGCTCTGAAACCTGTTTGTTCCCCTCCAGTTGTCCTTGGATTCCAATACACATCAACCCCATCCAGCTGGCGTGATCTATAGGCAAATATGATGGGAACTGTAGTCTGGCTGTTTCCTACCCCTTGCAACCAGGTATTCCAACTAGGTGTGAATTCACTCATATGTAAAAGAGCAATAGCCAACATTGTTTTATTTAGATTTTATGTATTTATATATATGTGTGGAAGAGGTGGCAACCTTTGCTGATGAATGATTTTTTCATCTCATCCCTTCATGGATCAGGTCTGAAGTTTATCCAGGAGGCGACTCACATTACAGCAGTGCTTTGCACCTATTCCCTTGGTCACCCCAACGCTCACTGCGTTGTTGCGCTGGATAGTTAATGGCTGACAGGTGCACAATCCTTTCCTCCTCCAAGTTTTGGAGAAGAATGGGTTCAAAGAGTTTTGTGTTTATCATCCTCTCTCTGAATAGAGTGAGTCCAGGCCAGATTTATCCAGTGTCCTTAGCCGAGGTCTCTGCCTGGTCAGTGTCGCTGTCCGAATTGTCCCGCTGAGGCCGATCCTTGCGCCGGGTCACTTTGCTCAGAAACTTGCCTGATCCGCCCTGACGGGAAGGGCAGCAGATCAAGGGCTGTAGTGGCAGGGAGGGGAGCGTGTAAGAAGCCATGCACAATTCTGAACAGCTTATCTTGCTACAATATCTTGGAATGTAGAGAAATTTCATGAGATCTAGCATCTTGAAGGGGCATGGGTCAAGACAAAACATAGGGTCTGCCACATGTTAGGGTTGCCACTTCTCCCAAAAGCACTGGGTCAAAACTAGAGCTTGGAAAAGTTACTTTGCTGGCTAAGAGTAGTAATCTCCAAAAAGAATAACTTATCCAAGCTCTACATGGGGCTAGAGCTTGGAAAAGTTACTTTGCTGGCTGGGGCATTCTAAGAGTAGTAATCTCCAAAAAGAACAACTTATCCAAGCTCTACATGGGACTGGGGAAATGAATGACTATTGCTCTGTCACATGCATTCATTCACTGAAGTGTATCCAGATTTAGAAGACTTTGTGTCTTTCTTTCCAAGTCCCACCCATGCACCCTCACCAAAAATGTTAAGAGTGACAAACCCCTCCCTCGGGAGTAGGAAAACAGTGGCTGAGGTGGCAACCCTAAGCAGTGTGAAGGTTTGAGAACTGGTTTGCTAGAGCAGCCCTCCCTAATCTGACATACCTCCCACCATCCTAGGAAGCTTGCCCCATATTTCCTGAGGATGATGGGAAATACAGTATAATACAAAATGTTATGGACGAGTGAGGCAGAGCAAGGGGTTTTTATCCCCTGCTGGAGGGAAAGATGTCCTTGGAACAGTGTTTCCTAACCTTTAGCCCAATTTACATTTTGGATGTTATCTTCCATAAACTCAACCCAGAGTAGCCAGTGATTGGGGATTCTGGGAATTATAGTCCAAAATATTTGGCACACTCAAAGTCGAGAAGCACAATCTTGGAAGGTCCTTCTCTTTCTCCTACGTATCCTTGCTTCACAGCTGATAAGACTGGTGCATTCTGTGCAAGGAGGAGGATGCAGGGGGGAGCGGAAAGAAGATAAGAGGAGAAGCGTCCTCTGTATCTTTGCCAGCTCTTCAGGAGGAAAAATTGTAGCAGGCATTGAAGGTATACTATAGAGGTTCATAAAGGTGTCTCATTGTGGAGGAAAAAACAATGGATTGGAGAGTAAGAATTCCAGACATCTTCACATTGACTTGTATATCATTAGTCAATGGAAAATAATGTGAATCTGACCATCCCAATCTCAGAGCACTTCCTGCCTTATTTGTCAATGTAGTTGCCCCCTCAGCTGCAATTTTGTCTTCTACTTGGCTATGAAATGTGAGAGCCAGTGTGTTGAACTTGGGGGACCCAGGTTCAAATCCCCACTCAGGCATGAAGCAAAGGAGCAGTAGCTTGCTTTCCCTCTCAGCCTAGCGTTGCTGGGAGAACAACATGTGAAAACTCCATGTCCTATATCCTGATTGTCAGGGAGGAAATGTGGAACACAGCTACATATACTTACTGAAATTAAAGAAATCTCTCCCCATTAGCCTTCAGTGAACCTCTCTGCAGGCACCTGGCATTACACCAAGAAGCACCACTCTACCAACTCAGAAGAGTTGTACAGAGCTGCTGATTTCTGTGTAATGGTGATTATATGTTTGCTTCTGCTAATCACAGAGGCATGGTTCACTGTTCAGCCCTCCTCACTTCTGGATATCCATGGCGATGTGACTATACATTCCCCGCCGCCACCTCCCAAATCTGTAAAGACTAGGAATATCCTGACTAATATCAATTTGCAGGCATCTTCCATAAGGGGCTCCAGTACTGGAAGCAACCTGCTTGTCAATAACAGTGGCTGGAAACACAAGCAAGAGAGTGCTAATATTCAAGAACTATTTGTGGACTTCCTGGAAGTATTTTGTGGGCACAGAAAGATGGATTAAATAGGTCCTTGGTCTGACCTAACAGGGCTCATCTTAGATTCTTATTCTCCTTGTTAGTTTTGCTTCACAAGTCTAGGATACTACCTACCTACCTACCTACCTACCTACCTACCTACCTACCTACCTACCTACCTACCTACCTACCCTACCTACCTACCTACCTACCTACCTACCTACCTACCTACCTACCTACCTACCTACCTACCTACCTACCTACCTACCTACCTACCTACCTACCTACCTACCTACCTACCTACCTACCTACCTACCTACCTACCTACCTACCTACCTACCTACCTACCTACCTACCTACCTACCTACCTACCTACCTACTTACCCACCCACCCCATTATTCTCCTCTCTAGCCTGTAGCCTGCTTAGATAACTAGAAATCAAACTGGGGAGGAGTTTCTGGTCACCACTTTCTCCTGCCTGGAACAGCAGTACTGTATATCTGCTGTATTGTGAGCATGGCCCTGGGAGGACCTGCTGGATGATCTCTCCTCTCCAATTCCCCATGATGCCTTAGGCTTGGTGGGTCAGTACCTGAATAGTATCAAGGTCCTTTTCAGATACCAGAGGAGAAAGTCCATCCATGCCAGCTGAGGGGGACCGCCGAGGTGAGCGGCGGCGCTGGGTCACATATGTGCCCCTCATCTGATCCTCCAGAAGCACAGTCTCCACCTGGAGTGGAAGGAAGGAAGGAGGATGAGAGCGTGGAAAAGTCTGGGCCCACCAAATGGGAGCTAAGGACTGCAGGAAAAAAGGCTCTTGTGCTGTCTTAAAACAGTGGTAGAGGGGAAAGTGGCCCTGTGGATATTGCTGTATGACGGCTCCCATTAATCCTGATTGTTGGCCATGCCGACTGAAGCTAGTGCTTGGAAATGTCCACCACACCCCAGACTATGAGTACCAGATCCCTTTGCCCAAGAAAGCCACCAGCCATGCTGGCTGAGGGATTCTGGAATTTTTACTTTTTAAAAAAACAGAGTAATGTTACTAAGCTTTGATGGAAGCTGAATGGAGTTGAAATTAAACATCTAGATGGACCAGATGTTTTCCACCCTAGTCTAAAGAACTAACAAATTATTGTGATGTCACCTTTGTGGCTTAGAGCTCAATTTATCTGAAGCAGAATATGTTATCCCCAGGTGGGAGATTATACAGACAGAGGGATCACATCCCTGTACATCAGGGGTAAGTGATATGCTGTAGTGTCCATGGTAGGATCAACAAACATTGTGCAAAAGGAATTGTCTATCATATTTGCCACAGATAAACTCTATGCATTGAGGTGTAATGCTCCTGAGTCCTGACACAACAGACACACCCGTCTTTCAAGGTACCAGAAGATTCTTTGTTGTCTAGGGTTATAATAATGAGAATAAGCATTATTTTCTCCTGTGTGCACAAAACAGTAACTAAAGACTGCACCCTCCCAAATGTTCATTTACATATGAGTGCTAAGAAATGGCATCCAGGTCAGGCCATTACTAGTGTCTACGTTAAAAATGAAATAACACATGGAGGCTCGTACTTGCTTGTGCCGTGAAGGATTTCGCCCCCGGATTGGCGGAGAGCGATCCTCTTCCTCATCAGTCCCATCCTCATTCTGCAAGGGGTTAAAAATAAAAGACTGGGGAATGAGTGATGGAAGAGTTATGAAGAAAGCCTGAAAAAAAAATGGGCCTGTTTAACCTTGGGAAAAGAAGACTGAGGGGAGATGAAGGGCAGAATCTGTTCTCGATTGTCCCAGAGTTCAGGGCACGTAATAATGGGCTCAAGCTATAGGAAGCCCGATTTAGTCTGAATATCAGGGGAAAAAAAACTCTTAACTTTTAGAGCAGTACAACAATGAAACCAATTACCTCGGGAGGTGGTGAGCACTCCAATGCTGGAGGCATTCAACAGAAAATTGGACAACCATCTGCCAGATCTGCTTTGATTTGGATTCCTGCACTGAGCAGGAGGTTGGCTTTGATGGCCCTATCGTCCCCTTCCAACTCTATTATTCTATGAATTTCCCTGCTTTTGCTCTTTTATTATTCTGTCATTTCTTGCTGTCTTTTTGCCTCTCATACTCCTCTTCTTGCAATTTTCTGCTTCTGTTCACCTTCCTCTTTGCTGGCCATAAAAGCCACCCCTTGGTATCTTGGACTTTAATGCCCCTACAGGTGGCAGCTGGATAGCAGACTCAGCAGGCGTGTCACCTGATCACTGGCTTTCCATCTTGAAAAAGACATGCTGTAATTCTATTTAAACTATAAAAACCATTCCGGGACTCGTACAATTCTAGAATTGGGCAGAATTCCAAGGGTCATCTAGTCTATCCCCTGGTAATACAAAAAGATAATAATCTACAGCTAAAACATCCCTGGCAGATGCCCATCTGGCCTCTGTTTTAACAAAACAAAAGAGAGCTCACCATCTTTTGAGGAGTCAAGCAGCTTTCACTACCAGAAAGTCCCTTTTAATTTCACATCTGTACATATAGAATGGTATATAGAACTTTATCCAGATTGGTATCCTCTTATTTTAAACAATGCATGGCCATTCCCTTTGCTGTCAGTGGCCACCTTACTTTGGAGGGAGCCAGAAGCCGGCCAGGAGACGTTTCACTCACCACGACGTGACCGCAAGGGGATCTAAAGAACCAGAGATCATTAATCCCAGCGTGGAGGCCATCGTGTGGAATGTCTGCCCTGGAAAGAGGAGCGTTATAAATGTAAGAAGATTTTAAAAATGAGCAAATGGATTCCAAAGTAGCTCTTCCCAGAAAGTCACTTACGGGCAGCTGCACTCAGACCCTGGACTGGGCTCCCGTCCGGCTGGGAATCCTGGCTGGCACTTAAGGACAGGGTGCAGGAGAGCTACGGTGCAGGAGGAAACAAAGGAGGTGACATGTAGAGACTTCAGATGAAGCCAAGAGCTCCGTGCGACAGCCCCAGATGTGGGGCTCCTGAGGGAGTAGGCTGGGCCAGGAGTTGAGGCAGGGAAGGGAGTGATGTCACCCTCCAGATGCTGTCGGACTGTAATTCCCCTGCATCCTTCCCATTTGTCATGCTGCTTCAGGCTAACGGGAGGTGCTGTTCCAGCCATCTGGAGAGCCACCCATTCTCCCCATCTGGACAAGGCTCCTACACCAGACACATAGGGAGAGGAACATGGGGTGCCACTCACCATTTTCTGTCTGCCGGATGATGGTGCAGAATTCAGCATATGAAATGGGAGGCTGCGGCAGAACCTGAAAGAGACCCTGGTAGTCGGGAGGACTTAAGAAGCCCAAAAGTCGCTCCGCCAACCCTCGTGCTGCTAAGTGGGCCGCGCGGGCTTGGGCTACTGATTGCTCCGCGTGGAAACAGGCTAGCTGAAGAGAAGACAGAGGAGAGATCACAGTACAATCTGCTTTGAGTCCTCTTATGTTAGCCTCTTTAGAGAATTTACCAATCTCCAGACAGATAACATTTGTATGTCATCTCACTATAAAAGCCGCCATCTTTATGCTCTTAGCCAGTGGTTCCTACCCTGGGGTCCCCAGATCAGCAGCTGGAAAGCGAAGGACAAGAAAACTGGCAAAGCGGTTAGAGTAGATCTCAGGAGATATAGGTTAAAAGCCCCACTCTGTATCTCACTGGGTGACGTTGAGTCAGTCACATTTTCTTGGCTTGACCTACCTCATAGAGTTCTTGTAAGAATGAAGTGGGAAGAGAAGAGCTACAAGAGATACAAACCAAGCAAAGAAATAAGTGTTCAAAGTGTCCATAACTGAGGAGTAGCAGAATGATGTTCTGGCGGTTTTGGCATGCCATTAATATTTATTTTTTTATTTA